TGGTGCACCACTGTAATACCAGTGTACTTACATGGTAACTCCTCAGGAAGTGTCCACTTAATATAAAGTGTAACATCCTGGACACCAACCACAATTTATATGTAAAGCCTAACTTACTGGCCGCTGCTGTGTAACATCACAACATAATTACATGGTAAATCCATAGGAATTGTTTACTTAATATAAAGTGTAACACTTTCTTTACCAAAAAGTGCTGTTAGTCCTTTACACATTTGTACTTTCATTATCACAATGTGTTGTTACCAATGTCCTGTTACACATTTGTATTTACACATACCATTCAGTGGGTTGTTACATATGTGTAGTTACACAAATATTACAGCTGTAGATACTACTTACCAATGTGTACTTACACTGTAGTTACATACTATGTACACATCTATTTACTATGCAAGTACACAGGTATTAGGGCCACTTAATATAAAGTGGGACCTCTTTTTGAATCTCACACAGAGACACGGAGGAGTAATTATACTCAGTCCCAATATAATCACCAACAAACCCCTCAACACAAAGAAAAACATCTAGATCAGGCGTTCTCAAACCTGTCCTGGAGGACCCTAGCTGCACATTCTGAATGTCTCCTTTATCAGACACACCCAATTCATGTCTTGCAGTCTCTACTAACGAGCTGATGAGTTGAATCAAGTGTGTTAGATGAGGGAGAAGGCTAGGGGTCCTCCAGGACAGGTTTGAGAACCACTGATCTAGATTCTAGAACTCAGAGCTGAAGACAAATAACCACAGCCTTCCTTTGTCACCATACAGCCAGACAACCTATAGAGAGATGTGTTATATTGCCTTAGAACCACATGTTTATGTAAAAACAATTTGGACGTAGCACTGTGCTCATTCAGTAAATGCACAGCTGAACAGATCTGTGTTTTGAGTCTGGATTTAAATGTGGCTACTGTTTTATCTGATCTCTTCTGGAAGCTACTTCCAACTGCGGGCTGCATAATAGCTAACAGCAGATCTCCTTGCTTTAAATGAACCCTTGGTATTTCTAAATGACTTGATCCTAATGGTCTGAGTGGTCTGTTAGAGTTATACTCAGTGAGCATATCTGCAATGTATAGAGGTCCTAGGACACTGAGTCAACACATAGTGAACAAGGGAACTAGTAATGGTTTCTGGTTGTGCTCAGTGTTATGAATGAGCTGCAGCTGTCTAATGGTCTTCTAGGGAAGGAGATCATTACAATAGTCCAACCCGCTGGTGATAAAGGCATGAACAAGTTTCTCCAAGTCTTGATTGGAAACAAAACATCTAATTCTTGCAGTGTTTTTTGAGATGATAACATGCTGATTTAGTTACTGCTTTGACATGACTACTGAAACTAAGGTCTGCCCTGATTTTAGTTGTTTGACCCCTTGAAGTCAAAGTATGCATTCACCTTGAGAACTTCATCTTTCCATAGTTTCCAAGCACAATGAGTCAATGTAATCCAGCGGTGGAAGAACTTAGAATGTTTCCCCTCGCTGGTGAAATGGTGATGTGTGAGGTTTTCTTCCGAGAGGCGTGTTAAGGGCGGGTTATAGAGTAGCGCTGGTCTGACAGCATGATTTTGGGCTCGTGGATTGAGGTGTGAAGTCACTGGCCCCACGCGGCTCGTTGTTAGCTCTGGCTCGCACTGACCCAGCAGTGGAAACGTTATGTTAAAGAACTTATGATCGCTTCTAAGGATGACCTATATACCATTTGAGGACTGTCCCAGAAAGTCTGTGTGACAGCGACAAATATCAGTGAAATACCCAAAAATCTGTTAATCCCCCAGAATGTTAAATTCTTACAGAAGAAAGTGAACTTAACAAATAGACCATTTATTAGACTTTAAGGAATAAGACATTAATTTTACAGGGTTGTCATAGTTAACTAAGACTAAAATTTAAATCAAACATATTGATAAATCATTAAACAGTCACTTGAAAAACAAAAGTTAAGTGAAATAAAATATAAAAAAATTAATTCAGCTAGTTCAGAAGGCAACATTTCTAATTTTCATTTCATTATTTAGTTCAGCTTGATGTTGTAAAACAACTAAACTAAAACTGAAACTAAAAACCTGAAATATCCCAAAATGTTGGTGAATGTATAAAAGCATGTACAAGAATGAACAATTAGACAAATATAAGTCTTGCTCTAAATGTGCTTTAACAGTGAACTAATTTACCTGCCATGAAGAACATTTGCTTAGAAACACTACAAATAAATATTTTTTTGTATGTCTATCAATTAATAATTTGAAAGAATTGTCAAATTGTCATTGCAGACCAAGTATATTTTGATAAAGCATTATTTTTCTTGTTTCATCTAGAGGATGAGATTTCGATTTAAAAAGATGCTCCTTGAGCTCCAAATGTAGAATTAGACCAATGATTAAAAGTGGAAAAGCTTCTCTTCCTGAAGAATGGAGATGAGTTTAGCTTTCACAGCATCACTGTGTTTACGTATAATCTCACAGATCTTTCTCATGCCGTCCTGACTGGTTAAACTCTGTCTGATTTCTGAATATTGTTCCTCATGAATTAGTTGCTGCTGAAGCAGTTTATCTGCAATGATCTGGACATGTGTAACTCTCTGAATGAGATCTGGCCAGTGGTTATCAAAATATCTTGCTTTATCTGCCTCACTCTTCAGACGTGACTCGTCTCTCTGTGGATGAATCTGATCAAATTCTTCTTTCTCAATTAAAGCAGTTCAGACAATCTTCTTGTCCTCCTCTCTAAGAGTCACTTTAAGATCGTTCTCCAGACGTGTCTTGATCTTGAAGAAGTTTGGGCCAGTTTCTCTTCTGAGTGTGATCCCTTCTTTGGGATGGACAGAGGCTCCAGGAACATCAAGAATGTGTGGCGTTTTCATCCGAAACGGTCTGTCAGGTCTGGGATCAAAACATTTGACTCTTCCTTCTTCTCAACTTATCTTTTGCACGAGAATCAAATGGAAAAAAGGTAGACATGTAGAATGAGAGGAGCTTCAGAGCGCATGTAGAGAAGATCGCAGTGTTGGTCCCATCCCATTATCCATCTAATAATGAATGTTTTAATAGAGAAGGATGGTTGGACTATCTTGGCATGGAATCGTGTCAGCTGAACAGGTTCTCCAGTTATTCCCTCGTCTTCTACACTGAGGACTTTCACAGCATCTCTGAGGGAAGCTTTAGACTTGTAACGATCGGCCTTATTGGAAGATGTTACGTTTGTTAAAAAGGGGTCAGATTATACTATGTGAGAGCTTTGAGTGTTTAAAAGATGAGACAGACAACAATGTTAAAAGTGAAAATCAAATATGTATTTACAATATTCACAAGAGACTTAAAACAACACAAAACTAGAATAACTTAGGCTGTTAAAAGTACAGAGTCTTTCAGTTTCATACCATTAAAACAGTCCTTAAGAAATCCAGTGTGTTGCTAGTCCCAAAGTGAATGTCCCCAAAAGTGTCCACCGGTGTATATACAAAAGTCCGCTGTAGTGTTAATCCAAAGTGCTGGAAAGGTAAGTCCACAAAGGTAACTCCACTATTCCAGTTTGCAGGTGATCACCACTTGGTCGTAATGAGAGCAACGACCATGCTTGTTTGACATGCTGCCTCCTTTATGCTGTCCATTTCCTACTTCCTGTCATGTGATCAGTCACATGACAGGCAGACCCAAACTCATTTAAAGACATACACACATTAAAATGGTTAAGAGGAATAAAATGGCTAAGACAACATGAAAACCTATTAAAACTCAAATATACATAAAATAATAAAAAGTATATTGAGCAGGTTAAAACATGTGTCCTGTGTGACAGTGTCACAGACTTTCCTAAACAGATGAACTTCCTCCAGTTTCCCTGAGATCACGTCACGTCCATCACTGGAGCGATTCGGTTGCACTGCAGTCTCTCCAGCTCTGCGTTTGATATGCTTATTCAGCAGATCTAAAATCACATTAAAACAGATTAAAGTCATATTGTCGTGACCGGACGTTTCACAGAGAAAGGGAAGCTAGCTAGTATAAATTATAGCAAATGACATGGTTACTTTTTCAGGCTCATTTTTGTGTTTTCATCACTAATAACAAACACATTTATAAACAATAATGCATTTTAGTACTATAGTTTATATACAAATATAGTGTAAAGATGGGTAAGAAAATGTAAGGCCAGTGTTTGTTTTTAAATTCATTCACCGTTGCCATTGTGACAAGAAGTTATTTTTAATGCAGGCTATATTTAACCTCCACAAACTCTATATTCTCTAACAATAAGTTTTAAATCAGTGTTGGACAAGTCACAGATTATTCAATCTTCACTGAGTTATAATCAATGAACTCTTGAATTCTGGGTTTTAAAAACTCTCTGATTAGAAAAATTAAAAATTCAATCAGTTGCCGATCCAGATTTTTACAGTAACTGACCAAGTTTTAAAGCTAGGATAGGCAATGTTTTTCATGATTATTTTGTGTTATACTGGTGGAAAGTCTCTTCACAGAGCAATCCATTAGTAAAGTGATCTATATAATAACCCTTTAGTATAGGGACCAATTCTTACTATTAACTAGTTGCTTATTAGCATGCCTATTATTAACATATTGGCTGTTTATTAGTGCTTACTGCATAAAGCACATATTCTGCATGAGCATATTCTACATCCCTAATCCTACCCAATGCCTAAACTCAACAACTACCACAATAACTGTTAAATAGCAGCAGATTAGGAGTTTAGTGAGGCAAAAGCTGTAGTTAATGATGTGTTAATACTGAGAATCGGCTCTGGCTCTGTCTGTGCGCAGTCATGTGATTTGGAGGAGGCGTGGCTTTTGAGAGAGAGAGCTCTGAAAGAAGAGCGGGATCTATTCAAAGCTAGCTTGCTATTGCTAACCTACACCAAACTGCACACGCTAGCTTTACTGTATGGAAGCTTCAATCTACAGAATGTGGACTAATATTAATAACTAGACTAAATCAAGACTCTACCCCTGGTTTCTAGTATCGATATGTGTCTTTTTCAGTAAAAACACCAAGTCCAAGCAAATATACAAATAAAATATGTGCAAGCAACTAAACTAAATTTGCTAGAGAGTAATTATCACAATTAGAAGATCTGGTCTCACATTAACTGGGACGTATTCAGTGATGTATGAAGAACAGAGCCCTGAACTATTAACACAGTCTGTAAAAATCTGTCACTAAGACACAGTATATTTCACTCACCTGGTGACGTGTGGATCACTGTTGATTCTCACAGGATGCACAGAGACATTGAAGAATCAGGATAAACCCAAAATCCAGCACAGAGGGGTTCAGTGAATGTGGTGTGGAGTGTGTGTAAGTGAGTGAGTGTGTGTGTGTCAGAGACTCTGTAGAAGGACAGAGAGCCGGCCGACATGTCCAGATACACTCCTGCTCTATTAGAGGATGAACGGACAGCAGGTATAACAGTGTCGTTATCATTGTGACGTACAGTGAATCTGTTATTAAAGCAGATCAGATTCCAGGATTTGTCATTGTATCCAAACACACTGTCTCTCCCTCCTCCTTTCCTGTTGATTCCTTTATATGACACTGATATAACAGCATTATCTCCGCTCCATTCAGCCTCCCAGTAACAGCGTCCAGTCAGACTCTCAACACACAGAACCTGAGTAACACCATCAAATCTCTCCGGATGATCAGGATACGGCTGATCCTCAAACACACGTGTGATCTTCCTGTTCTCATCAGACAGAATGAGTCGAGTGTGTGCTGTGTTTGGATCCAGCATGAGATCACAGGCCCCTGAACACAAGAAGAGAGAAACATCAAGAACAACACAACAGTGAAGATGTCTGTGTGTGTAAACTGTCCTCACTATTCACAAATGTCCTCGATATTCACAAATGTCCTCACTATTTACAAGCGTCCTTACTATTCACAAATGTGCTCATTATTCACAAGTGTACTTACTATTCACAAGTGTCCTCACTATTCACAAATGTGCTCACTATTCACAAATGTGCTCATTATTCACAAGTGTACTTACTATTCACAAGTGTCCTCACTATTCACAAATGTGCTCACTATTCACAAATGTGCTCATTATTCACAAGTGTACTTACTATTCACAAGTGTCCTCACTATTCACAAATGTGCTCACTATTCACAAATGTGCTCATTATTCACAAGTGTACTTACTATTCACAAGTGTCCTCACTATTCACAAATGTGCTCACTATTCACAAATGTCCTCACTATTCATATATGTCCTCATTATTCACAAATGTGCTCATTATTCACAAATGTGCTCACTATTCACAAATGTCCTCACAATTCACAAATGTGCTCACTATTCACAAATGTCCTCGCTATTCATATATGTCCTCACTATTCACAAGTGTCCTCACTATTCACAGATGTCCTCACTATTCACAAATGTCCTCACTATTCACAAATATCCTCACTATTCATATATGTCCTCACTATTCACAAATGTCCTCACTATTCACAAATATCCTCACTATTCATATATGTCCTCACTATTCACAAATGTCCTCACTATTCACAAATATCCTCACTATTCATATATGTCCTCACTATTCACAAATGTCCTCACTATTCACAAATATCCTCACTATTCATATATGTCCTCACTATTCACAAATGTCCTCACTATTCACAAATATCCTCACTATTCATATATGTCCTCACTATTCATATATGTCCTCACTATTCACAAGTGCTCACTGTTCATAGATGTCCTTACTATTCACAAATATGCTCACTATTCACAAATGTGCTAACTACTCACAAATGTCCTCACTATTCACAAATGTGAATATCCTCACTATTCACAAGTATCCTCACTATTCACAAATGTCCTCATTATTCACAAATATCCTCACTATTCATATATGTCCTCACTATTCATATATGTCCTCACTATTCAGAAATGTCCTCACTATTCATATATGTCCTCACTATTCACAAGTGTCCTCACTATATAGATGTCCTTACTATTCACAAATATGCTCACTATTCACAAATGTGCTAACTACTCACAAATGTCCTCACTATTCACAAATGTGAATATCCTCACTATTCACAAGTATCCTCACTATTCAAAATGTCCTCACAATTCACAAATGTGCTCACTATTCACAAATGTGCTCACTGTTCATAGATGTCCTTACTATTCACAAATGTCCTCACTATTCACAAATGTGCTAACTATTCACAAATGTGCTCACTATTCACAAATGTCCTCGCTATTCATATATGTCCTCACTATTCACAAGTGTCCTCTCTATTCACAGATGTCCTCACTATTCACAAATGTGTTCACTAATATAGTGAAACTGTTGAACAGTGACTAGTGATTGGAATCTCACTAGCAGTGCTGGTCCTAGACTTCTGGAGCCCAAACAAATCTCTGTGAAAAAACCCTATCAGGCCTAAAACAGTGCAGACTAGTGTAGTCAAAAGTACCGGTTGTGGGTTTATCATGAATACAAGTAAAGTCAGCTTTATTTCTATAACGCTTTATATAATACAGATTGTTTCAAAGCAGTAACAGATTGAGATTGAGCTGTAAAGCAGCTCTAACAAGCCAATAGTGTGATTCTAGAGCTCAAGTCAGTTCAGTGTTGATTCAGTTCAGTTCAGTAAGTGTAAAGTTCATCAGTTGTGCAGAAAGACATATACAGTGTATTTGTGCACATACTGTACATGTACATGTGAGTGTTACTACAAACTCCACTGAACACACGTTATGCTATGTTTGTTTTTATCATTTACGTTTAGCATTATTAATCAGTATGTTAAGAGCATTTTAAAATAAACATATAATTGTTAAAATTGGGGAAAATATTTGTAGACGGCAAGGAAAGACAACATACATTTTGAAATGACTAGTTAACTTTGTTTTCTGCTCATGATGAGAGTGTTTTGATTATGTTTGTTTTCAATATAAAAATGGTCCAGACGTCAAGAGAAAAACTCTGAACCCCTCTTTCCTCAGTCACATGACCTTCTGCCTTACCTATGTATCTAAATGTCAAAAAATAATAATAGTTTGATAAAACATCTGATTTTATCTTTTAATATTCATATCTAATTGGGCTCAACTGAAGATTTTTTTTCTTTTAAAGAAAAATTCTCAGAAGCCACTGACCTTTGGCTCTGAGGACCCAATATCCTGAATATTTTTGCCTTATTTATTTATTTACAAAGCATTACTGGTGTCCAGCTGGAAATGTGTTATATAGAAATGAGTTATATATATATATATATATATATATATATATATATAAAATGTTTTTTGTTTTTTTGTCCGGACATCCACTGGAAAAAGAAATATAGAGACCTCTTGGAACTTTAATTGAGTAAAACACGACAGGACTGAACACCATCCAACAATTTTAGCAAACATCCCGAAATGATTTAATGCTAAACAGTTAAAGTAAAAGTTTAAGAAAAAGTTAACAACAAAAAAACATAAGACATAGAATATTTTAAAAGCTTGAATCATATTTTAAATAAAGACTAAATAAGACAACAACTTCAAATAATAGAAAATAATACATATTCCTCTTGCTCATTTGCTTCATGTTCTTGCTGATTTGTCATTTTTCTGCTCTGGACGGATAGTTCCGATTGGAAGCGATAGGCCTTGTTCACACGAATACATTTTCATCTGAAACACATCTTTTTCTCTCTGTTTTGGTCTTCTGTTCACACTGAGATGCTGTTTTTGTCCTGTGAAAACTGAGCATTTTGAAGACGTTCTCCCGAGTGGATGAATGTGATAACACTGTTTTGGTGTTGTAGTGTGACTGCGAAAACTGAGCTATTTGAAAACACTGATGCATGTTTAGTCATGTGACGTGTATTATACCGATAGATATCTATGTTTACACCGGTATTGTGTTGTTATGTGCTGTTCACTTTCATACTGTTGCTAAAGATATGTTTCTTTGTTCACTCTTCATTTCACAGTCCTGCAAAGAAAATTCACTCACAACTGCTGTCCTGCAGCAAAACATGAGCGCAGCTGCGTTTAAGAGCAAACATATAATGATGATTGAGTGCGACCGGGACGCATCAGTGAATGTGAGATATTTCACTAAATAAAATGATCCTGTCAGAAGAATAGAGTGAAAGCTTTATTATGTATGTCCATCTGTATCATCTCAGTGAGATTTTATTGTTTCACGCATGTGCAGTTAGGTGAATTTAATGTTTCTGATGTTTCAGTATGGATGAGAAGCTTTTGGAAAACACTTGAAAACTCTAGTGTGGACAGAGAGCGTTTTGAAATGAAAATGACATTTTCAAATGTATCTGAATTAACAATCATGTGTCAAGACACTAGGGGTGTCGAAATTAATCGTTGCATCGTGATGCGGACATGAACGATTCTGCATCGATGCAGTAATAGACCATAATCGATTATAGCCCACTGACGTCATTCACATATGCACTTGTCACGCGAGTATTAAAAATGCACTCTCTATTTTTAAATCTGAGATCTGGGCACATTTTGGAGAAACCAAGCTTAGTGCGGGAAAAAACATGCTCAGAATAATCTATTCTGAGCTTGGCTTTTTCCCAAATATGGCACGTGGTGTGTGCGCTACACTCTAAAAAAAGATGGTTCTTTGAAGGTTCTTTACATTTATTCATCTACACGGTTTTATTTAGAACCATAGCATCTTGAAGAACCCTTTTATGCTGAAATGGTTCTTTGTGTTAGAGTTTAGGGGTCTTTGTTCCCGCCCTTTTG